TTTCCATTTTTAATCCAATCTTTCGAAAAATCTCTTTCTTTACAATTAAATTTTCGAAAATTAGCAGTCTTAGCTGAAAATTTGGAATTTTCAAGTAAAAACAAACACGAGATTTTTAAGTTTCGATCTAGACAAATTAGGGGGTTTTTTTTAGGGTAATTGTCGATAATTGTGGATAATTGTGGATTATTTTCTACCAGAAAACAATCGTGACAGGGGTGGGGCATCGAGGAAGTTCGTGATGGGCAAAATTTTGAACTCTGATGTCGATGAGGGGGTGATTTGGCGTGGGGGAAATTGTTGTACTTTTTCGAGAGACAACTTTCAATGCACTCACGAACATGGAAAGGGATAATTATTCAAAGAAAGCCTACTCAAATTTTGGTTTGGAACTTGGTAACATCTTGGCAATATTTATGTTTGGTTTATTCCGGGAGAAGAGCTAATGGCAAATGGAGGAAAAAAAAGAGTGCTGGGAAAATGGCTTTAATTAAGTACTTGTACTTGTACTTGTACTTGCACTTGTACTTGTAGGCTTGCAAGTCTGGAGACAAATGCTAAATGTGTAATGTTGTGTAATGTTGGATTAAGTGTAGACTTGCAAGTCTGGAGACGAATGCTAAATGTGTAATGTTGGATTTGTGCACCGAAAGCTTAGCATGGAAAGCAATTGGATGTCCAACAGCTATTGATTTATGCTTATTCGTCAACCAATGTCCATTCGAAAGCTCTTGAGATTCAAACTCATGACTCCGAACCATAGATCATGTCAATCCCGTAGATTTGAAGCAAGTTAGAAGCGTTTTTAGTTTACGTTTTTAGTTTACGTTTGTAGTTTTTAGTTTTTAATGCACATTTCTACAACCGATGAGTAAATCTGGTGGATTGATGTAGCTGTATGGGTTGATGTAGCTCTATCTGGTGGATTGATGTAGCTGTATGGGTTGATGTAGCTCTATCTGGTGGATTGATGTAGCTGTATGGGTTGATGTAGCTCTATCTGGTGGATTGATGTAGCTGTATGGGTTGATGTAGCTCTATCTGGTGGATTGATGTAGCTGTATGGGTTGATGTAGCTCTACGAAAACTACATGGTGTTCAATATTTATCGAAACCAATAGATCACTAAGTTTAAAGCTCGTTTTTTACAAATTTAATGTTAAAAAAGAAAAAAAACATATCAAAGACATAAACAATTTTACTTTAACAGTCACTTTTTTCAAAATTATTGCCTTTCGCGTTGATGCTAGTCTAGAAATTCTCGTGGAAGTGTGACACGGAGGTCGAAGTTTGTGATAAATCGAATTTATCACAAACTCTTGTTAAATTTTCTTGAAAGAATCAAAAATGAAATATGCTTTCATGATTTAATGTTCAATAAATTTGAAAATTGGTAAATAGTGAAGGATTTCACTGAAGTGAAGGAAAGTTTTCAACTAAGGAAGGAACAGTGAAGGAAAGTTTTCAACTAAGGAGGGAACAGTGAAGGAAAGTTTTCAACTAAGGAAGGAAAAGTAAAGAAAGTTTTCAACTAAGGCTCTAGTATCACTCTCCAAGTTCTGCTTTTTCAAGAATACCCAAGTGCAAACAATTCTTTTTTCCGGAACTCTTCATTTTTCAGCTCAATTCCCAATCTTTTTTTCCACCTGCAAATAGGAAAAAAAAGAGAATTGGTGATATTTTTTCGGTGAAATTACTTTTTTTTACTGATTTTCTAATGAGATGTACGCTCAAAAGCAATTAGTTTTCTTTAATTGAAACTTTTTTTTTAATTGAGAAATCGAGACGAAAGACCGAGAATGGTGTACAAAAATTGGGAAAACAGGGGAATGAGTTCGCTTGGAAATGGAAATGGTTATGGTAAGCTCTTGAAAATGGGAAACTTGTGTGCTAGATGGATAAAGTTCGTTTGATAAATGAGCTTTGCACCAAAAAAAATTTCGTTATTTTTCTCTTGCGTTTTCTAAAACGTCGAAAAGCTGCCGTACCGCTATCTCTAGTTTTTATCCAACCTACAGTAGTGGAAAAAAAAGTATTGAGCTCCCCAGACTTTTTTTTACTTTTTACTTCAAAAAGAAAATATCTATCGAAAGCTTTTTGAAACGGTTCTAAATTTCTAGAACTAGAACTAGAAGAAGAGAAGGACTAGAGCTAGAAGAAGAGAAGGACTAGAGCTAGAAGAAGAGAAGGACTAGAGCTAGAAGAGAAGGACTAGAGCTAGAAGAAGAGAAGGACTAGAACTAGAAGAAGAGAAGAACTAGAACTAGAAGAAGTGACTCTTTCAACAAGCCCCCAAAACACACAAGTGGTTTTGATGATGGGCCGAATTTAATGATTTGATATCTTTGCCGCACAAGTGTTTAGATCACAGTTTTCTAAAACGTTCTCGGCTACCGTAATCTTGTTTCTAGCTTTTATCTAATCAATCTACGTTTATTTTGATTCTGTGAGGGCTCACAAAAGGATATCGAAAGATATAAAAAATGAATACAATGGTGGAAAAAAAGTATTGAGCTCCCCAGACTTGTTTTTACTTTTTACTTCAAAAAAAATATCTATCGAAAGCTTTTTGAATCGGTTCTAAATTTCTAGAAACTAGAAGAACTAGAACTAGAAGAAGTGACTCTTTCAACAAGACCCCAAAACACAAAAGCCGTTTTGATGATTTGATATCTTTGCCGAAAAGCGAAGATATCAAATCGTCGTTTTGTTCACCATTCGGGCTGGTTTCGCATTCATAACGTTTATCTGCTTAAATCTGCTTAAATCTGCATAAATCTTAAATCTATCTGCTATCTTTTGGCTATAAAAACTTGAAATAATAACAATTAGGAAGAATTTAAAGAGAATTTTTAAAAAAAGAGAAGTTTCAGAATCTGTGGATTTCCAGAGAACCCTAGCTCTTTCGTTTTCGGCTTTCGTTTTTTGGCAATTGCTCTAACTAATGAGCACAGAATTGAATTCTACCTCGTTCTCCACCTCATTCTCCACCTCATTCTCCACCTCGTTCTCCACCTCATTCCCCACCTCATTCTCTTCTTTGCAACCCTATTGAGCATTTTTGGATCCACGTGAAACGAAATTCAAGAGAAAATCACTTTTTCTCAAAGAAGGATCTTTGGGATAAAGTTCAAGAGATTCGGAATGGAATTCGAATGTCGCCTCTCAACGAATAGATGCAATTATTAAAGCCCGAGATGGCCCAACAAAATATTGCATTTTCGATAGGTTGCTCAATAGTTTTTTTCCGCCGGTTTTTGCAAATATTGTTTACATATGTTTTTTCTCGTTAAATCGACTTTGCAATTCAAAACCTTTTATAACATTAGGCCGCTTAGTTCTTCTAGTTTCTAGAAATTTAGAACCGTTTCAAAAAGCTTTCGATCGATATTTTTTTGAAGTAAAAAGTAAAAAAAAGTCTGGGGAGCTCAATACTTTTTTTCCACCATTGTATCCATTTTTTATATCTTTCGATATCCTTTTGTGAGCCCTGACAGAATCAAAATAAACGTAGATTGATTAGATAAAAACTAGAAACAAGATTACGGTATCCCGAGAACGTTTTAGAAAACTGTGATCTAAACACTTGTGCGGCAAAGATATCCAATCATTAAATTCGACCCATCATCAAAACACTTGTGTGTTTTGGGGGCTTGTTGAAAAAGAGTCACTTCTTCTAGTTCTAGTCCTTCTTTCTTCTTTCTTCTTCTAGCTCTAGTCCTTCTCTTCTTCTAGCTCTAGTTCTTCTTTTTTATAGTTCTAGTTTTATTGAAATTTAGAACCGATTCAAAAAGCTTTCGATAGATATTTTTTTGAAGTAAAAAGTAAAAACAATCGGGGAGCTCAATACTTTTTTCCACCATTGTATTCATTTTTTATAATCTTTCGATATCCTTTTGTGAGCCCTCACAGAATCAAAATAAACGTAGATTGATTAGATAAAAACTAGAAACAAGATTACGGTAGCCGAGAAAGTTTGACACGTTTTAGAAAACTGTGATCATCAGAAAAGAACGCAGGGATTTCAAGAAGCTGAACTAGAAATTACAGAAAAGTCTTTATGAGCTTTGTGCTCAAAAATAAAAAGCACACTCAACTCAGCACTTCTCTCATCACATAAGGAAGGAAGTGATAGACTTGGGAAGTGATAGACTGGCATAAGGAAGTGATAGACTTTGGGTGGATCGAGTGCCCCTCTTCTAGCACACTCAATTCCTCTCATAGTAATGATTTAGTGTCAAGGGTTGGATTCAAGGACTTGTCTTCAATCTTTTCTTCAATTCTTCATTCTTCAATTCTTCATTCTTCAATTCTGGAAGCAATTTCTTCTATTTTTATCCGCAGAAATCAAATCGTATCATTTCAAGCATTTTATTCGAAAATCGGGTTCATTGTTGCAAAATGTTTTTTTTTCTCATCCAAACATTTGACATTGATGAGCTCCCTTGGGGGAATCTTTCAAAAAAAAAGCGCTAAAAGGATTTCGACTAATATTTTTTGTCGTAAATAGTACAAAAATTTTGAATGTTTATTTACACTTTTTGGGGGGAATTGATGAAAACATGTTGTCTGGGGGAATTTGTGTGGAAAAGAAGCGTAGAAAAATTGTGAGATTTGGAAAAACCACGTAAAAAATGCGATAAATCAAATAAATAATAGATATAAAAGCTATTGATTAAGCAGATTAAGCAATTTTGAAGAATGATGAGCTTTTGGGAGAGTTTGAAATATTGATGCCGAAGTGAAGGCTTAGCTGGTGAACTTCTTGTCGCATTGATGTTGAATTGAAAACATGTTGTCTGGGGGAATTTGTGTGGAAAAGAAGTGTAGAAAAATTGTGAGATTTGGAAAAACCACGTTAAAAAATGCGATATTCAACATGAAATCAAATAAATAATAGATTTTAAAATTATTGATTAAGCAGATTAAGCAATTTTTAAGAATGATCAGATTTTGGGAGAGTTTCACGTTTGAAATATTGATGCCGAAGTGAAGGCTTAGCTGGTGAACTTCTTGTCGCCTTTCTAAAGATAATCGAATCTTAAACCTAAAGTATTTTTTAGGTTTTTATCTTTCTTACAATTAGTCTACCAGGGATTTTCCAACAGTACCAGGTCCAAACTTGGCTTTTGACGGGTCAAACAAGGGAAAGGCAAAAGTAGGATGTGGTCAAATGAGATGAGCCGTAGGAAAAGTATATACGGTAGGAAAAGTTATAAAAGTTGTACGTTTGAAAAAAGTGTACTTTGTGCAAAAAAATTTGGCGGAACCGTAACCACCCCCTTTGGAATACCTATATTTGCTCGTTACAGTATACAGGAATAAATATTCAGTTTACAAGACGGGATATCTTTCAGTCAATCAGTTGAAGTCAATGAGTTGAAGTCAATCAGTTGAAGTCAATCAGTTGAAGTCAATCAGTTGAAGTCAATGAGTTGAAGTCAATCAGTTGAAGTCAATGAGTTGAAGTCAATCAGTTGAAGTCAATCAGTTGAAGTCAATGAGTTGAAGTCAATCAAATCAAAAAAAAAAATCAAAATAATAAAAAATCAAAATTAAAAAATAAAGTTGAAGTCAATCAGTTGAAGTCAATCAGTTAAAGTCAAAGTCAATCAGTTAAAGTCAATCAGTTAAAGTCAATCAGTTGAAGTCAATCAGTTGAAGAACCTTCTAGCCACCCGGTCTTGCTACTCGAATACTTTACTTGTCATACTGTAATGAGGCAAGAAACTGGAACACGGTATCATTAAAATTCGTTAAACAGTCTTTTGTAGATATGTTTGAATTGTTTACTTACGTAAATTGAAAGAAAATTGTTGAGTTGATCGCAGAGAATCCGTCCAAATACCATGTGATCGTGCGAGGCGAGGATTTTCGCACCAGCCAACGCCGCCTCATCGGCTCCGAGAGCTGTTGTGCAGCCAAGGCCTGATGCAAAATTAGTTATCGAAAAATTTCACGTACAATAGAATTACAAAGAAGTATATTAGAAGATCTAAAGAGGAAAGAAGATTTCCGAATATTCTGTGCATTTTGGCTACAATTGTTTGAGTTCTTATTGTTTATTCGGGCCATTTGAACATGTCCATTAAACAAAACCAAAGAATCACTTGAAAATTCGCTAACATTTTGTTAGCTTCTGCAACAGTTATCAATTGTACCTGATGGAGTGTGTAGTGATGACCAAATGTCTTGCGAAATCCACTCTGGACCTCCGGGCGGGGCGTTGATCACCTAGAAAGTGTGGGTTTATAGAGAAAATCTGATGATTTTAATGCTTTAAGCTATGGATTACAGTTAACGGATAGATTTTGGACTTTATTAGGAATGAAGTACCGGTAGGAATGAATTCCCAGCAATCACAGGCCCGAGTCCATTCGAGCGTCCCGCCACGGCGATCACAACTGTCGGCACTCCGTCACCCTCGTACTCGGCAACCAAATGGAGAGCCTATAAAGATGAATTTTTTTTTCATTATCTCTATCGTTTTCTGGTAATTTCTCATAATTCTATAGTCATTTTTGTTCATTTTACCGTATTTGTTCGAATAGAAGACCGGGTAAAGAGTATGATCGCGTACTCCTGCGTAGCAGTCCTTTTTAAAATTTCTTTTCTGCATAAAAGCTTTCAATGAAGTGCTATAGGGCTGGAAAATGACTCAAAAATACCACATGAGCTAACAGATTTTTGAGCCATTTTCCAGCTCTATAGCACTTGATTGAAAGCTTTTATGCAGAAAAGAAATTTTAAAAAGGGCTGCTACGCAGGAGTACGCGATGATACTCTTTTACCCGGTCTTCTATTCGAAGAAACTATGGCAACTAAAACGAACCTCTGTCGTTGCCTTGTGAGCCGAGCAGACGCGAACGCATTTCATCACTCCCAAACGGGTCAAACTGGAAATCAGTTTTGGGTTGCGTTTTTTTTTTCTGGATTTCAAGTTAATGAATCTCTTCTGGTAAAATGTCGAATTGTTACTTTTTCTCGATTTTCTCGCAAAACGCCGTGTCGGCGGTGGATCCCATAATGATGAGTGCTCGACACTTTGGGAAACGAATCCAATCGCCCGTTAGCTCGGCTACCTGGAAACGTGGTTCAATAGAGCTTGAATAGAGCTTAAATCGAGCTTTTAGAATGCGAAATTAATGCCTGAGTATGCCGTAAGTTGTATAATGTAATTGGATTACGGTAGAAGAATACTATAATCCAACTACCAGTTTTCATTCGATCAGCTCAATGTTGGTATCATTAGATGATCATTAGATGCGTTAGATCGTTAGATTGTAAGATGTGAAATCACAAGGCTAAATCAATAAAGCAAAATTTTGACTAATCAAATACAATCTGACAGTTTGATTACGGTAGGATTACGGTATAAGCTTTCAAACTGGTCTCACCTTTTCGTAGTTTTTAACGAGTTCTTGTAGAGATTCGGCTGTTACCTCTGTCATGTCTCTGAAGCAAAAAATCGTTTACAATGAAATTCTGAGTAAATAATTCCTCAAAACTTTCAGTCAACTTTGAGACAATTCTGTTCTTAAATAAAGTTTAAAGTTTTTCAATTTCCAACCTATACATTTGTTTGTCAAGTTGCAGTCGTTTGTCACCTCCAGGCCAAACACGCCACGAATCATTATCTGAAATTAAATAGAAATTAAGAAACCTTTGCTTTCTAGATATAAAATTAGAGATTATCTTGTTTAACAAAATAGAATCGATATGTTAATACCAATAACATCGGCGAGCACAATTTCCCCCTTTGTTGTCACCCCGAATTCGACTTTCATGTCAATCAATTGACAATCGGAAAGTGACCAGGCCTGAAAAGATTGAATTTTAATCTTTTGATTAGTGCACCAACTTTTTCTAGAACTTGAAAAATCGTTTTCGTTTGTCGTTTGAGAAGGAAAATCTCTTCTCGACCAATCTTCAATCCATTTACGACGAATTCTCGAGAAATGATCTGCTCATCCGACCATTGCGGATCGTCATTCTCGTCATCCTAAAATCAATAATTAATGCAATTCGTGTTGTTGTTGTTGTTGTTGTTGTTGTTGTTGTTGCTTTGTTGTTGTTGTTGTTATTGTTGTTGTTTGTTGTTGTTCTGTTGTTGTTG